GGGGGGGGGGGGCGTACTCTTATGTTTTGCATGCCTTAGCGGTTAGACCATTGACCACGCGTCCTCGAGAGGACGGAGCATGGGTGAGATAGAGAGAGAGGGGGGGGGGAGGTCACGCGAACGCACGCCGTAGTCGTTGGACCGTTGACCTCGCATCCCTACATTGTCGGGACGGAGCGATATGCCGGGTTTTCGAAGGCCCAGGCAACGTTTCCCAAGGATGAGCCAGAAACAGTGCTGGAGCCAGGTGGAACGGGCTCCGAGCGGTGTTTCTGTTGTGATCGAGCAGAAAGGAGCAATGAGGGACATCCCCAGCCGCTCACCGTGTTGATGCACACAAGATACCACACCGGTTTTCATATAGCTCGATTTCTCCACATCGGTGAGGTTGACGATGCCGAGCGATACGTCTTTGGATAGGAATAAGCGCTACCATTCCAAGGTCATCCGTTTGGGCATTGGCGCCGCCCTTACTGCAGAGTATGATGTGCAAATCGATCCCGGGGGTGTGGTATCCTACGTGGGGTACGGTACGATCAATTCATCCGCCTTTCCAGCGAGAAGCGCCAGCCACCAGAATAGCATTACCCCTTGGAGAAGAGAGGTACCAAACACATGCGTGCGTGTGTCTTCTCAGCTAAGTCGTGTCCCCTCGCGGCTTGGGGTGCAAGGGCAATGCGGCAACGATGTGCTTGATCGTCGACATCACCGCTACTAATTTGTACTTCTGCATGTAGTTGATCTTTTGCCAATGTCGAGTTTTTTACATGTTGTTGTTGTTGTTGTTGTTGTTGTTGTTGTTGTTGTTGTTGCTTGCACAGCCTACACCACTGCCATCGTTGAGTGTCAGTAGCATCGCCGCTTTCACACTTCCGCAATGAAACTGAAGTAGTCACATGATTTGATTGTCTGCAAAGTAATCATACTGCCGTAAATTGTTCTCTCAGACGCCGGGGTGCGCGAGGCGTGGGAGAACACCGCCAGAACGGCTGCCGCGCTCGGAGCTGCGGTGGTCGAAGTGTTTATGCCGTCGGTGCCGCAGGTATGCGCCCAGAGAGAAGGGGGTGGGGGGGGGGGGAAGGGTTCTGATCGTGTCCGTGCACCGCTGCCAGGGTGTTTGCTTGGAGCGCATAAAACCAACAAAAATAAGTGCAAAAAGCTCCTGTGAGACTTTCTTCTGGGGTGACGCCGGCTGATACGTCAGTTATTGTATATGCGCCGAATGACCTGTAGACCGGCGCCAGAATAGATGGGACGAGCACACATACAAGTGCTCTGTGTACGAGCTGTACTACCCTCTGTTTTTTTTTTTTGTGGTTGCTATGCAAGTCAGTTACATTTTAGTTCTACACGTCAGGGAGTGAGTTACGGTAGCGTTCTGCCGCGCCTCTCAGCTCCGACACGGGCCAGAGTCAGAGAGCACGGGGCCCAGCCGAGTCGCACCGCGACAAAGAGAAAACTACCGGGTAGTCAATCTTTGTGTTGGAGTGTGTTTCCTAAACCGCTTTGGCTGTTGACCCCTGCTCAAAATCCCTGCAGATGGCAGCCCTCCGCATAAAGTAGGTATAATCGACTACACATGAGCGTTCGCTGGACGTTGCTGGCAAAAAACCCGAAACACTGTGTGTGGCGGTTGCGTGCTGACACCGTGGACCGCATATAGTATCAATCGAGCGTCGCTAGGGTTGCCGATGGGCATTTTGCTGGGACAGAATATGAACTTTATCCGCTCACTCGACAGGATTCCGTTTAGCTTCCATAATCCCCCCCACGCTCTCTCTCTCTCTCCCTCCCACCGAAGCCCTCCCAATCCAACCTGCCCGTCCCGTTTGTTTCTTTCTTGCTTCCCGCACTCTCGCGTAGGCGCTAGCTGCGTATGCCGTGCTAGCCAGCGCCGAGGCCTCCTCGAATCTGTCTCGCTACGACGGGCTCAGGTACGGCGCACGCACCGGACAGACCGCTGCGTCAAGAGGGGAAGGGGCGGCGGTTGGTGGAGGAGGCATCTTTCGCGACCAGGGGGAACTCCACGCGGAGATCACCAGGACGCGAACCGCGTACTTCGGAGACGAGGTGGGGTGGCTGTTCTGCTGCTGTTGTGTTTTGGTGGTGGTGGTGATGGTGCTTTGTTGTGGGTGTTGTTGTTGTTGTTGTTATTGGTAGCTGTTGTTGTCGCTGTTGCTTCTGCTGCTGCTTCTGCTTCTGCTGCTGCTGCTGCTGCTGTTGCTGCTGCGCCGCTGCTGCTTCTTTGCCCTGGTCAAGCGATGAGGCTAGGTGTGTTACGGTGTGCGGTAGTTGTGTTTCCGAGGGGGACGGCACTACTACTACGTCAACACGAGCAACGTGCAGAGACGTCTATTTCGTCGGGCAGTGAAGTCGTCTGCAGGGATCGATTTTTCTTTTCCTTTGCCATCACCCCGCCGCTCCCCTGACCCCGTTCTATCCCTCGTCGTCCTTGCACGTACGGAAATGCTTTCGTCCCACGTGGACGTGAGCGATACCAGGTGAAACGCCGAATCCTGACGGGCTGCTTCGTCCTGTGCGAGTCCGCATACCACGATTACTACGAGCTGGCCATTGAGGTAAGCGCATACTCTCACGTTGCTGCCCAGCAACAAAAACCCATCGTCGTACGTTCATAATTCGAGTTGTCATTTTCCTCAGCAGGTTTGGCGCGAGCGTGGTATACTTTGTGCTGCAACATCTTTGGTGAACAGGGTGTTCCAAGAGTTGACGGGACAACCCCCCCCCCCCCCCCCCTTCCTCCTAATTCCCTAAATCGGAATATAGGTTGGCGTCGGGTGGCACCGCGCCCTAAAATAACCATCGAACCCTAGACATGAAATAATTGTACTTACCGACTTTTCTTTGCCCATTCCAGTACACAAACCTGATATAGACATGAAATAACGGAACTTACCACTTTTATTTACCATACCATAACAGGAAGCTGGCAATAGACATGAAACTACTAGACTAACCAGTTTTTTTTCCCCAGACCATAACTAAATAGTATAAACCTAGAATCCCCCCCCCCCCCAAATAGCTTCTTACACCTAGAACCGATCCCCAAACCGTAACCGAACCCC